CTGGCCTGAGCGCGATATCGGAAACATCTAATGCATTTGTACACGCGATGCCTGATGACACGACGTGCTGAGAGTATCCAGAACTGCTGACGGAGGATAGCGTGTAATGTGTCAGCCCCAGGATGACAGTTTATTCTGTGATAGTGGTCTATGATGAGATCAACTAGTGGGCTAGAGCTGGGCAGAACGAGAGGATGCTGAGCATCGTATCTTATTGGCGCATGAGTGAGGCGACCACCAACTCTCAAGAGATCATCTTTCATCAAGGGTGAAAGACGCTGAAGTCGAACGGTACAAATCTTGCCTGCCTGAAGACGGTAAATATCTTCCGCAAACTCATTGTGTTGAACAGAGCGAACCCAGAATAACAGAGCATCTCTACGTTCTCCAACTGTCAAGGGACCAGAGCGCCTATCAGTTGAGTTGTGTCTACAATTGAAAATAAAGCGTTTTATGCAAGCTGTCACTCCAACGAGCTTGTCGAGAGAACTGAATCGAGTAAGCAAGTCAAGGTCGAGGTCAGGAACTGCTATATGAGCTGGTACTTTCTTGGGCTTCAGACCTGGTAATGCATGGTGGCCTAGAGCAGGAGGCATTTTGGGCCAGGTGTCAGGAGGCTCCTTCAGCCAGCTAGGAGACCACCAAAGATCATGAGCTGATAGTGACTGGGCAGACATTCCCCTGCTCGCACAGTCTGCAGGGTTCAGGTTTGTAGGAACATGTTTCCATGTGGAGGTGATTGGATTGGATGTTATCTTGGCAACCCTGTTAGCTTCAAAGACCTGAAGTCTATGAGGAGGTGTGTTTAGCCATGCTAGGACAATGGTACTGTCTGACCAGCATATGTGTTGCTTTATGGTAATATGGGACAACAATTGAGTCGAGACACGTATCATAAGCTGTGTTAAGAGACTTGCAGCAGATAACTCCATCTTGGGGATGGTAAGACGATTTTTAACGGGTGCGACTCGTGATTTAGCAATTACGAGGTATACGTTGACACATCTGTGCTCATCGAGTTCATGGAGATAAATAACGGCAGCAAAACCTGCCTCTGAGGCGTCTGCGAACCCGTGAAGCGTGTAAGTAGACTTAAGTTTGTTTGTACAAATAAGGCGAGGCAA